GACTCATGTTCATCTTACAGTCCACTAGGACTCCAAGATCCCGTTCCACTTCCATGACCCCCAGCAGGTCATTTCCTAGGCTGTAGGTGTGCTGGGCATTTTTCCTCCCTAGGTGCAGCACTTTGCATTTCTCCTTGTTGAATTGCATTCTGTTGTTTTCTGCCCACTTGTCCAACCTGTCCAGGTCTGCTTGCAGCTGTTCCCTGCCCTCCGGCGTGTCCACTTCTCCCCTCAGTTTTGTGTCATCTGCAAACTTGGACAGAGTACACTTCACTCCCTCGTCCAAGTCGCTGATGAAGACATTAAAGAGTATCGGTCCAAGGACCGAGCCCTGTGGGACCCCACTTCCCACACCCTTCCAAGTCGAAACTGACCCATCCACCACGACTCTCTGGGTGCGACCTTCTAGCCAGTTCGCCACCCACCGGACTGTGTAGTCATCCAAGTCACAGCCTCTTAACTTGTTCACCAGTATGGGGTGGGATACCGTATCGAAGGCCTTCCTGAAGTCTAAGTATACGACATCCACCCCTCCTCCTGTGTCCAAGCGTTTCGTAACCTGGTCATAAAGAGAGACCAGATTGGTCAGGCACGATCTGCCTGCCACGAACCCGTGCTGGTTTCCCCTCAGCATAATTTGTCCTGCCGGGCTCTCGCAAATGTGAGCCTTGATAATTTTTTTTTTAAACCATTCATTATTTTAAAATCCTTTTCCTCTCATGTCCTGCTTTGTCCTTAAGGTTTGTGAAGGCTGTCTGGCCCTTAAGTTTCCCACTGGCCATAAGCTCCTGATATGGACACTTTGTGGTACTGAACCAAATCAGGCCTGCTAAGTAAGCAACAATCACAAATTAATATCCGATCGCTCAGGGCCCAGTCCAACAGTAGGTGAATTGGAAGATGCTACCCAGAGTGGAGAGGTAAAGCCAGAAGGCCTCAGAGGGCACATTCCAAGATAGGGGAAGAGGTGCAGCTAGCCCTGTAACCTCCCTCAACATATCTTCAGTCTATACATGTCCCCCTACTCTCATCTCTCTTGCCTTGGCCCTCAAATTCTTTTCAGTTGTTTACCTTCCATTGAGCTATCCCCTTCCAACTCAGGTCACAAGTCAGTCCCAACACTATCTGGTGCACTGGCTTAGGGTGGTTATTATTGTTGTAATTTATTTTATTTATATCCTGTTCTACCTAGAAGGGCTTGTTAAATAATCAGGGACTCTTTTACAGATGGGCTGATTGGGTGCAGTCTTTGGCACGTGTCCAAAGCAATACATCTGAACCACTCTACCCCCTTCTACCCAAACTGAAATTATGGTACCGTGCCATTTCCACCATGTTTGTTCTGCTGGCATTTTCTCCCCTTCCTCTTGGCCTATCCCTGATCTTTGGGGCAGACACTGTCTGATTCTCTGTATATAAAATAATCTGTGTGAAGCTGTTCTCCCAAGTCATTTACTATTGATTGAAACTTTGGACTGTGGCTTGCTGCAGAACCATATGTTGCCTCCCTCATTATCTCCCTTAAGGATACCTGTGAATGGTATTTCACAGCAATGTTATGATCACTGTACAGAATATGACAGAATATCCTGTGGTTTTTTTAAACTCATATTAATCCCTTGCTTTAAAGGTCTGTAACACAGAGAGAGCCAGGTCCTGTAAGGGGCTGACAAGTGGCAGTTTCCCTTAAAGGCAAAGCAAACCTGTTGAAGTCAAGGGATTGAAAGTGTTCCACACAGATCAGGAGAGCCAGGCAGCACATTGTAGCACTTGCACTTTAGGCCAGGGTGGGCTACCTACAGCTTGCAGACTGGCCTGCAAAGGTCTGTTTCAGGGGAGGCAGGGAAAAGGGGTGCATTAAAAGCAGTGACTTAAACCCTCCTGTTCTGTACCCTTGCTATTCTCCACTGGCATTCCCTGTGCTTTTTGACAGCACCCAGTAAGTGGAAGGGACACAAAGCAAAAAGGGAATTGGTAGTGGCAACTGGGGACTGGCAACTCCTAGCAGTGGATGGGTTGCAAACAACCAGCCCACTGCTCTAAAAGGTTGCTGACCTCTGCTATAGGCCTTATACTATGAAAAAAATTGTTCTCCTTTTGTTGATTGGAATACAGCTAGTGTCCACACATAAAAGTGCTTCTAATGGACTGATGGGGAATAGGAAATACTCCAAACAGATCTGGTATTTTCTTGCTAGGAACCACTGCAGCCTGAGTTGGTTCAGCATCAATCATTCTAATACTGTAAGTACTGGCACAAACATTCACACCACAGTGTGGAGAAAATCAAACACTGGATTGCTGCTCCACAGCACTGTTGTTAAAATTTCTACAGTTGCTACCTGACAATCCCTTTCACCTCTTGACTTCCCACTATCATGCTTCTCAGCCTTGTTTCCTAGTAAACCTCTGGTAATACTCTCCTCTCCATGTAATCCTTTCGACAATACCCTTCTCAGCAGCAGTGCTAGCCATGTTTTTCCCATTAAGTACTGGAACTGGGGTCCAACATAAGTGACCCAATTCAAGATCGCCTGTCAAAGTGCCCATTGTCAAAGTGACAATTGAACCAAAAAGTATTAGCTGTGATCACTGATTCAGAAGGGAAAAGCAGGTATTCATAAGAGAAGGACTGGACCCCCACTTGGCTGTTACTGCCCCATTATGGTCCCACAGAGCCTGGAA